ATTTAAATTAATACATAAATTTAAATAACAATGTAAATATTTAATACAAAATTTCAATTTAAAAAACCACTTATAAATATATAAATAATTAAAAAACCTACATAAAACTTTTTTATAAATAAATTAGTAAAACAAAAATAGAGAAGATATAATGTAGACCAAGAAATCAACAGATTATTATTATAATATGAAAATAGATTTTCTTACAATGAAATGAAATGGAAGAATTAGTTCCCACTCCACCAGAGAAGTGAAATGATTTTATTACCGTGTATCATGTATAATTACACCGTTTTATAACTTTATACAAAGACCAATATATATTTAAATACCAACAAAATTTTCCTAGCCTAAAATGATTTATTGCACAAAATCGCAAATAATATATTGATATATCAATTATGAATCGGTGGTTTCTTCTAGCTGGAGTATAATCCATTGCAAATACTTCATCTCCATTATTATGTTCTTCTTTAGCCTTAAACACATGATCTTGTGCTTCTTTATTATGAGAAATACTCACTACATCATTGCTTTTTTCCTTCAGTATTCTTGCTGCAAAATATATAGAAAACATGTTAGAGCTTTGAAGAATAAAATAAAAATTTTAACAAAAAATAAATTATGAGATGCTCTATGTATAAAATATATACCTCTAGCTTGGATAGAGATGAAACATAGGAGAAAAAGAATCACTAGTAAGACATGTTTGTTTTGTGCAATAGCCATCTTAAATAATTAGAATTTTGTTTGTGTTCTTTATAACACAATAGATTGATTTTGAAGCCTTATATAGAAAAATATTAGTAGTAGTTTCTTCTAGCTATGAATATGTAATAACTACTAGTAGCTAATTGTGATGAAGTTTAATGCAACTATATGACTGTGGTATTGTGAGTGTCAACATCAATGTCTTCTATTTGTCTGCTTAGAAAGGATGGGTATGTCCCTTTAGGGAGGGACTTAAACAACAAAAACTATAACCCATGAATGTCAACTTCTATTATATACTATTTGGGTCAATTTCAATTCAAATGTTTCCTTTTCAATTTCATTTCATTTTGTATACTTTAATAATGTTCACTAAATAAATGTTTCATATATGTATGTTAATTAGTTGTTAACTTTTTCTCCCTTAAACTTAATTAACAATAAGTAGACAATCTATACCCTACATATTAATTATAATTTGTTAAACTTTGATATGAAGTGAATTTTGCAAGTGACTCTCCCTTGCTATCAACGTCCTCAAGTAGAACCACTGTCAAGTGAGTTATAGACATGTTATAGCTCTCTTCATATTTGATGAGAATAATATTGATGTGTGTTTTGGATTGGATTGGCATTTGGTCTATTGTTGGGCGGACTTAATTCTGCATAGTTTCTATGGTCTATTAGCATTTAGTCCAAGTCACTAACTGTTGGGGATGATCTCACGTGCTCACGAGGGAAACGTGCCCAACGGCTATCCTAAATTGCCATACTGTTCATCGAGAATAACGAGTCTAATTTTCCTATTATCTCGGAGCAATTGACTAGGGAGAAAGCCTCGTGCTGGACTCTATTACACACGTAACACTAATAGTCTTCGTTATTAAACCTAACTGCTTGGTTCGATGCGTGGATCTTGGCCCAGCGCTGAGGGCTATAAATACTCTCTCACATGAGAGTGTCAGGTATTCATTCTTTATGCACACTTTCATTACTTGCACTTACTCTAAACCTTACCTTAGCATCAGAGTGTCTTGTAGGTACCCTCCCCCCCACTTCACTTCAACAATCATCCAATTCCAGCTTGTGGATCATCGATGATCCCTTCCGATCAGGTACAACTAGTGGCACCGTCTGTGGGAAACTGCTTCCTCATCTTTTACTAATTGAAGATCAAAGCAAACTTTAAACCTCACGATCATCATGGTCGCTCAAGCAAACGATGACCAAAACGTCCACTTCACCGACCTAGGTAACAACAACAATGTGGGCGTCCATGAGCACGATCTCAGAGATGGAAGAACTGCTTCCTCTTTTGCTCGACCGCATCCACTAGATAACCCTTACCAGCAGGTCGAGCAACCTGTGGTGTACCAGAAAATCCCAATGCCCGCTAATGTCGATCCCTCAACCCAGGCCCTGATTGCGGTGTTGAATCAAACCAACTACATGCTCTTCGTACAAGGTGAACACCTTGAAATACTAGAAACTCGCAGGTCCCCGATAAAATACAGGAGGCCTGACTCGCGCACCCCATCTCCTCGACAACAGGAGCCCCATTTGCGATCTCCTCCGCGGAGAGACCAACGAGGAGATTCCTGCAGTCCTTCTCCTCTTTGTACGGGAGATACCCCTGATTAGAGAGGACCCAACAAAAGCTCATCGAGAAGCGCGAATGTATCCCTCCACGGAAAGGACGAAGTTCCCCAGCTTCTGAAAAGGACAATGGGAAAGAAGAGAAAAAAACTCGACTGAGGAGTCCTCCTCGCCATAGAAGACACTGCTACGACTTCTCCCCAGAATAAAGCGATAAAGATGACCCACACGGTCCGCTATCCCAAGCTATTATAGAGGCATTTGTCCCTAAGGGAATGGAGAAACCTCCACTCTAAACAACTACGATGGCTCGACGGATCCTGACGACCACGTCGACGCCTTCGAGGTGATGCTTCAATTCTACAACATCGGGGGTGCCATCAAATGCAGGTTATTTCCCACGACCTTAAGGAAAACTGATATAGACTGGTACAAAGGTCTTACCCTCTAATCCATCACCTCTTTGAAAAATCTGAAGAATCATTTTGCCATCAACTTCACTCCTTCTCGACATCACCCCAAGACCGAGGCGTCCCTCAAAGCGATCATCCAAGGAATCGATGAATATCTCCGAGCATACGATGATTGGTTCAACTGCGAGGCCATTTAGGTCCCTACCACTAACCGCAAAAAGAGGTATCTGCTCGAGAAAGGACTTCTCTCGGGAAGCGATTTTCGTAAGGTAGTTGGCATCGAGCCATCGAGGTCATTTGATCATCTCTTCCATAAAGCCCTAGTTTACATCACATATGAGGAGAAGGAAGCCACCAATAATGTCCGCAACTCCAGGAACTGCAGAGCACCCAGTGCCCTGAGGCACAACGATGCAGGATCATCCTGATGACCCAGGGATAAGAGAAGGTATGAAAATCCACTCGACCCTCACAAGCATAGAGGATAAGCCATGCACTTTAATGAGTACACTCCTTTGACCGCTCCATGCAAGTGCATCCTCGCCGAGTGTACTAATGATGAATTCAGGGACGGTGGGGTCCGTCGACCTAAACCCACACCCTCTAAACTCAGGGTCGACAGGACTAAATACTATCAGTATCACCAAAGCAACGACCATGTTACCGAGGACTTCATCCACCTGAAGGATGCTATTGAGAACCTCATTAAGGCGGGGAGACTTGGGCAGTACAATAAGAACGACGCACCTCACTGTAACACTCGCGAGGTGAAAGAGATCGAGGAGGATGCCCGCCCCTCTGACGAAGCTGCCCCCACCAATTTGCCCTATTTGTTTCACGACCCGAGGATTTCTATATCCCCGATGATGTCGAAGATGGGGAGCTCTTATTTACCCATAGTAGATGGGAGAAATTCCCCACCGCCATGGTCATTTCTGGATGGGGATTCGACAATATATCTGAATTTGGTGAAAAGGAAATTTAAGGAGCTGATAGATGCGACCCCAGTTCAGACCGTGAGCATTGACAGGTTCTGGGGAAAATTCGAGCCCATCACCTTGTACCTCGAGGAACTTCCTGGTGGAGCTCCTAACTCTCACATCCCTTTACTCGTGCGGGAAAAGATAGCCAACTTCGACGTGCACCGCATCCTGGTCGACGAAGGGAGTTCCATCAACATCATGTACACTCAACTGTTCCAGACTCTACAGCTTGGCAGGTCCCATATGTCACCATACATGGGGTCCAACTTACAAGGCTTCAATGGCTCTACCTGTAATCCATGGGGCTACGTCGATCTGCTGATCACATTCAGGATAAACATAGTCGCCAGACAGGTGAAAGTGTGCTTCCTAGTGGTTGACTGCCCATCCTTTTACAACTGCATCCTGGGAAGACCAACGCTGGCTGAGTTGACCGTCGTGACCTTCACGGTTTATCTAAAGATGAAGTTCTACACAAAGATGTGTTATGTCGCCACCATTCATGGAGACATCCAAGCTATGAGAAGGTACTTTAATTGAACATCAAAGGGACATAACATGGTCGACACAAAGCCGAAGACTGCCAACGGAACAACCTCCTCCGCAGCCAAGCCCACTCAGACTGAAGAACGAGCACCTCCTCCCCCGTGTCAAATCGATTGACCTTGACACCCGCTTCACCAAAGATGAAGTTGAAGTCCCCAACAGCGAAAAAATCCTCTTCATCCCGTCTCTGAAGGATACTTTGAAATCATCCTCCTCGGCAAGTACCCAAACAAAGGCGTGAAGATTGGATCTGAACTCCCCGATCTGGCGAGGAAGAAGCTCAAGGCTTACCTAAGGGAGAATGATGATTTATTCGTGCGTAGTGTTGCGGAGATGCCCATACTTGACCCTGAGGTCGCCTGCCATCAACTTGCTGTAGATCCGACTGCTAGAGAAGTAGTGCAATGTAGGCGTAAAAGACCTCCTAGAGGCAAATTTTATTTCTGAGGCTCGGTATTCAACCAGGCTCTCCAACATTTTATTTGTTAAGAAAAATAATGGAAAATGGTGTATGTGTGTGATTATACTGATCTTAACCGGGATGTCCCAAAGATGCATATCACTTACCTAATATTGACAGGCTGGTCGACAACACATCCGACTACAAACTCTTATCATTCATGAATGCATATTCAGGTTATAATCAAATTCCTATGACAATGAGCGATGAATAGTGCACGACCTTCATGACTGAGTCAGACAATTATTACTATAATGTAATGCCCTTTGGCCTAAAAAAACACCGACGCAACATACCAACAAATGATGAACAAGGTTTTTTTATGGCGATATTGGAGACACGCTTGAGTTGTATATGGATGACATGATCATCAAATATCGAGTGTAAACCGACCACACGACCACCTAAAAAGAGTTTTCGATCGGGCAAGGAGATGCAAGATGAGATTCAACGGAAAAATTCACTTTCGAGGTTAAGGCGGGAAAGTTCCTTAGTTTTATTTGACAGAACAGGGGATCAAAGCCAACCCCGAAAAATGCAGGTCCTTCTCCAAACTCCTCACGCCCGACTAGAAAAAAATCCATACAAGTCTTAAACAATATGCTCACCTCGCTTTCTCGCTTCGTAGCGAAATCTTCCCAACACGCACTACCATTTTTTAAACTCCTGTGCAAAGAGGCAACACTTGAATGGACTAAGGAATGCGAACAAGCCCTCTTCCACCTCAAGCAAGCTCTCTCAGAACCCCCCCCCCATGCTCTAACAACCCGAGAACGGGGAAATTCTTTTTCTCTACATGGTCGTTTCAGTAGAGGCCATCAGCACGAGCCTCATTCGTGAAACCACGGATGGGCAGAAACCTGTATACTTCACTAGCAAAGCACTACAAGGCCCTGAGGTCAGATATCAACAAATCAATAAAGTGGATTTGGCCCTCATTAGTGAAACAAGAAGACTCAAACATTACTTCCTGGCCCACAAGATCATTATGTGAACTGACCAACCTATAAAGCAACTACT